GCTATGGCAACAACTGAGAGCTGACAATGAATATACTACTTACATTCGTCTTCTTCTTTTTAGTTACTTATATTTATCCACGCTAATAAATTTTCATCGTTCTTTACTTCGCTTATGTCTCGTTGAACAAAAACAAGTGGCTTTTACCTTTTATCAATGTTTTCATTTTATAGCAACATATTTTCTTGAAAAATAAATATTATAAGCAACATATAAAATAGTACTAAATCTTTCAATGATATATTGTATCACCATACATCAGATCGATGAATCAGCTTCTACCTCGTAAATTATGCTGACCTGTGTACAGTTTGCATATAGATTTCGATTTACTCTTACTTACAGGATTTGGATATAATTCTTATTATTATTTGTTATCCACACTCCTGGAGATATTAGCTCAAAAATATCTTGAAAGCACATCAGAAACATAATTTTGCCTATCAATCGTTGAGAAGAAAACTGCTTGACAATTTTTTTTTAATATTTTTTTCTTTCAAGATGTTTCTACTGGTGAGAATAAAATCAAAATGAGGTTTTCGAGTGAAAAAGAATTAGATTTTCCTAAATTTTTTTAGGGTGTGGATATGGGTGGTTGATAAGTTAAATGCTCACTATCTTGAGGGTGTATGGGTGTGGGTACGCGTGTAATCTTTTTCTTTTTGTCTGCAATCCAATTAGTACCTTTATCGATCATGATTTATGAAAGTAAAATAAATATTTTACAGAGAAAATTTTGTGATTTATATTCAAAACTTACAATATATGAATAAATTCTTTCAGCTGATTTCTCAATTGTTAAAATTTTAAATTAATTGAAAAACTTAAATATTAACTTTAGTAATTAAAATAATTCCTAATTTCTTTTTTCAATATTTTATAATATATGATTTGTATTCTAAAAACAATATTAATCCCCTAATAAAAAATAATGTTGTTCTTTTGAAATAATATCGATAGAATTATTCACAATGAGAGGATCACTAAACATATATTCAACAAAACAATTCTTTTGAAGAATTGAAATAGGTTTTTTTTACGAATTATTCATCTGAACAATAATAAAATTGTGCAATGAAAGTTTTCCTTTCTAATTAAAACCAATTAGATTAATTTGGTTTTCTTTTTCATGACAGATATTTATCCAATATATGTAATTCTATCATAAATTATTAACTCAATTTTTTCTTTCTAATAAAATGTTTCCATTTATCTATAGACCTTACATAATTTATACTTTAGAAATACATTAATTTGAAACAATAATTTATGCCAAATAAATATTAATTTTATGCAGGAATTTTATGATTACTTATAATAGAAGATTAATTGATTGAGCTGAGTGTTATTGTTAATAATAATTCTATTAAATATTTCCAATTTATTTTTAAGTTTAATTATTTAATAAAAATAATTTGGAGACTTCATTCTTTTATTTTACAGTAAATAAAAAATAAGATTCCTTTCATCTTATTTTTAAATCATTAGAATGTTTGAAATATTTAAAATTGATTAAAACTCTAATATATCAAATGTTTTATTTGATTAATTTGAAATATAATTTCAACTCATTAATCAATTAAAAAGGAAATGGCAGTACCATAATCAACTAATATTCAGATCCAAATGCCTCAGGATGGTTTAACTTTATCTTTCATACGTGTACTTAATAAGTTAACAGGCAAAAATCCATTCAAATCGGTCTTTTTTGATATAGATATCCCTTGAGAAGTTCTTACGTAAGTCAATCTGGTATTTTAGAAATATTACAAAAATTTGATATAAAGAAAAAAAATACAAATGACACAAAATTAGTATAAATAAAATACCCATTACATAGGAAATAAATCGATATGATGGTAAAAAGTAGTATAAAGGAAAAAACGATTGGAGTAGAATGAATCGATATAAAACAAAAACAAAAATCGACAAGCAAGTATATAGAAAAAAAAGGAAGTGTTTATGTACACATACGTCTTGAGGTTGTGGGTGTGGGTCTAGGCATCGGTGTTCTCTTTAGATCAACAATGGACACCTACACCAATTTATCGCCGCTCTATTAATCAGACATAAGATGTTCTTTTTCTATAACATTACTCGAGTAGTTGTTAAGGAGATGATCAAGAGGCAACACACTACTATCCGCCAATTCATTTTAATAGTAATAGCACGATTGATTTAAGTCATAACGAGAGCTGAATAGCAAAAACTCGGCCTAATTTTGCTTTATCCACACCGGTGAATTTTTCTAGATTTTGCGACATTGCCGAACTTTGAAACTCAGTTTTTTCCTTTTGTTTTTGACAGAACAGAAGAAACCTCGCTGTGGCGATATTTACAAAACAAAAACACGTCATGACAGAACATCACATTACAACATGCACGTAATAATGTGTCACCATTACTCATTAGAAGAAGCGAAAAAAACCCACTGATCGAAACTATAAAAGGACCAGGATTTGTAATCAACTTTACGAAGAAACAGCTTGTACTTAACATGGCAACGACGAATTCTCGTATACTTTCCATCGATGTTGAATGTGTGGCTACAAGTCATACACATGATGGTCGAGCTCCTTGTAGTGTGGCGATTGTGGATGAACAATGTCAAATTATATATACGTCATTAATAAATCCAACAGAAAAAGTTGTCAGCGATCTGTATCCGTTTACAGGTTTACGAATGAAAGATCTTCAGCAAGCACCTACTCTCGATGAAGTTTTAAAAGAAGTATAGAATCAATTGTACTTGCAACATCAACATAATGATTGTTTTATTATTTAGATTCATCCATTGTTTGATGCAACGACAACTATTGTTGGTCAAAGTCCTAAAAATGATATCGAATGGTTAAAACTTCAGAAAGATGTACACTATGCACAAATTATTGATCTTAGCGATTGGTTTAAAACAGTCAATGCTCGCTATGGGTCTATAAGGTAAGCATATTTCACAGCTCATCATCTAAAACCTGTTGTTCGTCTAGTTGTTTCTCATTAGCACATGAAGCTTCGACATTACTAGGTATTGATCTGAATGCTGGAAATGGTCATCTAGCTACTCAAGATGCCAAAGCATCGATGCAATTATATTTAAAATATAAGGTTATCTACGACACTGTCCCTCTATCTGTATATCACTTTTTACTTTAGGATAATGAAAGTGGTAAAGAAACAGCTCGTCGTCTTCTGCTAAACACCCGGCCTGGCATGTCACCAGCCAAAGCGTGCAACTACAATTATGAAGGTGTTTGTTTAGCTGGATATTTCCCTCAAAAGTGTTCTTGCAATCGACCTTCATTTTCAGATAATTAAAACGAACTAACCATATTGCATTTTTCTAATCAGAAGAATTATTTTCAAAAAATTACAAGTCTTGAGAATCTATCAATAAATACTATATTTGTTATAATATAAAATTTTATAAACAATCGTAAGAATAATACTTAAGACAAAGAAACGTGTATATGGATGGGTTTGTATGTCAGTGTGGATGTATTGGGTGTATAGGGGGTGTGGGGTGGATGAGAAGATAACATCCACCCACACCCACACCCTCATGACTGATAGGAACTGATCGGTCACTCTAAATTCTCTTCTCTCCAATACAAAACTAACGTTCTATGTAAAATAAACACATTCTGAAGTGATAGAGTGGTGTTAAACATCAGACACCAAGAATAGCGGTAGCACTTCTCCTCCAGTTTGTCATTGTGATCACAATAAAAGAAATGCTGTAATAATAAGAAAAGTCTACTACTCTTAATTTCCGTTACAAATATTCAATAGAATTTTCTCGATATGAATGTTATCCGAAATTCTCCTAGAGTAGTAACGTGAATTTATTTTCTATTTGCATTTGATCTACTTCATATAAATTAATGTGGTAAAATAACCATTCTGTTTTTCATTCACAGTAATTCAAAATTTGTAAATACATTAGTGAAACTTCATCATCAATGAAATATGCATATGTTTTTGAAGATTTTATTATTTGCAATGACTAAACTATTTCTGACTGTTTTTTGTGTTAATGTAAATATTCAGAATGTAAAAATGTGAGAGAAGAATTACCATTCGTATTCGTAAAGTCTCAAGTATATATACATTAAAGAAAAAATAGAAGATTATTTTTCTTTTTATAATTCTATAATTATAATTAATAAGCAACTAAGCCAAAATATGAAAGAAGAAAAAAGAAAGAGAAAGAAAAAGCAAATATTAATCAGAGACAATGCATGAACGTATTGATGAGTGTGTTTATAACAGTAGGAATGAATCATTAGTCCTTCTTCGCTTTAGTAAAATATATAATCTCTTTCTCTTTTGCTGTGCAAGGATGAGTGAAGATGTGAGAGAGAACGTGGCTAGCGATATACTGATAACCATTCATGACGACACTCTTCTTTCGTTTATCTCACATTCATATATCAAAACTCATATCTTCAAGATGAACCAAATTCAAATAATTCTCCTTTCGCGTTTTCCTTTTTCTTTCACTTTAAAATTGAATTTTATTTTTTTAAATGAAGTACAATAAATAGAAAGCATGCGTAGCGAAGCAAAATAAATATTCTTTTAAAGAAGGTTTTTAAATATAAAGCATAAAAAACATCAAGCATTGAATGAAATATCCAGCCAAAGCCTTTGTTGAATGTGATGCCACGGGTGAACTTGTTGTACGTGTTATTGTTGTCGTTGGTTCTAAACAAAATTAATTAAAAGAAAAGATTAAATTTTGTTGTTGCATTAACAAAAAATATCTAATGTTCCTCGAGAAACTCTCATTTTGAAGATTTAGATATAAACTCTTTCTTCGTAATTAGTGAGCCAAATATGTTTCCAAAAAATATGTGGCTCATTTTACGACCGAATTCTTCCTATTTTTATAGTCTAACATACATTCAGTTCCTCATTCATATTCTCAAAGCATTATATACGAACTTCATGCAGTTCGTGATGATTTCATCAAAGTCCTAATGAAGTATGGAGATAGAAAGTAGATCGACAAACGCACAATCGCAGCCAGATAAGAATTAAAACATGATTTGATACTTACCACATGAAAGTTTTGGATAAGAAAATTTTTGAATTCGTTGATTACCCGCATCAACAACATAAATATTTCCATCACTGTCAAAAGCCATGTCACGTGGCCACGACAATTTATAGGATTCCGAACCAGAAGTAATACATCCAAGTATACATCGAAAGCCAGTTGATCCTCCTCGAACAATGCGATTCTTATTAGAATCAACAATATATAAATAACCATCACCATCCATTGTCACACCAGTTGGATAGTTAAGACGTATGGTAGTATTTATTGATGTAGCACCTGTAACAGTAATTCCATGTGATTCTCCTTGTGGAAACATTTGAATACGGTGGTTTCCAGAATCAGCAATATACAAATTAAGACTACCATCAACAAAAAGTCCACTTGGCTGAGTCAAGGTATTCGAAGTCGGACCATAAACTCCAGTTCCAGCTACAATCATCGGTGTTGTATCGTCGTCGTCCAACCAATTTTTCATAATTATATGGTATTGATTGAGTGAACAGTATAAGTTGTTAACGATGTCAATGAAAATACTATAGCATGGTGCAACGATATCCATGACAGGAGTACTACTATTTGTATTTAATATCCATTTTTCGATGGTATGTTTGTTCGAATTTCCTCGTACAATATAAAATTCATTATCGTTTTGAACAAATATTGATCTCGAAGATGAACTGTAATCTGATATTGTTATGGTTGGATCAACAGAACTATTCAACCAGATATAAATGTTAGTTATTCGTTGAGCAAGAACATAAATTGAATTATTAGTTGTAATAAATATAGAATCTGGCGTCCCACGAATTATATTATTTCCAGCAAAAAAAGTAGTTCCAAATGAATTCCAAGTTGCTGCTGGACAAAACTTTGGTTGATTAAACGAAAGACCTAGAAGCAATTTTCAAAATGATTCTTAACACAAACAATCCAAGTTCATCAAAAATTTGATTTTATAGCAAATTCAAGTTTATTCACATATTCCGAAAACAATCAAGTCTGCAATTCACGTAGGTGACGAATCAAATAGACAATTCGACAATCTACTTATACAATAATTTATGTCAATACGATATTACCACATATTATAGAGGATTAAATGGTATCGTGGTATACTGATCTTCGTGATAGAGATGGATAAGTCAAGTCAAGTTAGACTTGACCTGAATTGAATGAGACTGTAAACTCAAGTCAATCAAAGACATATGAAGAGGTTTCTAATGTATATCTGTATTTCTCTCGTTACACACAATGGTCTATTTAACTTCAAATTGAATATAGTAAAATAAATGGAATCGATTTCACACTAAAGTGAGTAGGACTAGGAGACTAATAGATTAAGAGGACTAACGGGATTCAGAGGACTAAGGGGACTCAGAGGACTAAGGAAAGTAGGGAGCTAAAAGGACTAGAAGGACTAAGAGGGCTAAGGGGACTTGAAGGAAATGTCAAATTATGTATTCATAGAATTGGATTTATGTTTATTGTATAGTTGAGCGGCGGTAGATAAATACGTCTCAGGTATGCATGTTCTGTAGCCATTTATATTATAGTTTCAGTGTAAAAACAAAGAATTTTAAAGAGAATGTGTGTGGGTGTGGATGTGCGTACTGTGTCTTGCTGTTATTCACACCCACATCCTCAAGTACAAGCCGCATGAATTTCATTCTATCCCTCTTGCAATGTCTTGTATATCTACAGTCCCCCTCTGTTTCTCTCTTGCTTAATACTATAAAGGATTGTTATACAGAAACTTTACATACTTCGCGAAGATGTTAGTAAAGAAACATTTGTAATTGGATCTAAAATACAAAATATTATTAAAAATAGACTTCTCATCACATAAATGAAGCTATCTTGATCTAAAAATATTCCAATACTCACTACATGAAACTTTTGCATAAGAAAATTTTTGAATCCGTCCATTACCCGAATCAGCAACATAAATATTTCCATAACTATCAAAAGCCATATGACGTGGCCCCGATAATTGATTCCCTGCTAAACTGAGAGTGATACATCCAATGATACATCGAAAGCCAGTTGATCCTCCTCGAACAATGCGGCGATTATAAGAATCAACAATATATAAATAACCATCACCATCCATTGTCACACCAGTTGGATATAGAAGACGAATGGTAATATTTATTGATTTTTCACCTGCAACTGTAATTCCCTGTGATTCGCCTTGTGGAAACATTTGAATCCGGTGATTTCCAAAATCAGCCACATACAAATTAAGACTAGCATCAACAAAAACTCCGTATGGCGAATACAAGGTATTCGAAGTCGGACCAGCAAATCCAGTTCCAGCTACAATCATCGGTGTTGTATCGTCATCATCCAACCAATTTTTCACAACTTTATGTTGTTGATCGTGTGAACAGTATAAGTTGTTAAGGATATCAATGAAAATACTATAGCATGGTGCAATGATATTCATGACAGGAGTACTACGATTTGTACTTAATATCCATTTCTCGATGTTACGTTTGGACAATGTCACTCGTTCAAAATAAAGTTCATTATCATTTCGAACAAATATTGATTGTGGATATGTGGAGAATTCTGTTATTGTTATGGTCGGATTAACAGAATTGTTCAACCAAATATAAATGTTAGGTAATGCATGAGCAACAACATAAATTGAATTATTAGTTGTAATAAATATAGAATATGGCATCCCATGAATTATATTATTTGCTGCAAAAGTAGTGCCGAATGGATTGAACGCTGCTGCTGGACAAAACTTTGGTTGATTAAACGAAGGACCTAAGAGAAATTTTCAAAATGATTCTTAACACAAACAATCGACGCACTGTTTGATTAAAAAAGAAATAAAATTGATTAAAAGCTGTTGCCATTCGAAATAGAAAAGATTTTAAGAAGATGATAATAATTAGTCACTTTCATTAGAGATGCGTACTCGTACTCATGAACATGAATTCCATTCAGACAGACCTAGATTAAATTTTGTCAACGATTGGTTTTATTTTGTTTTGACGGTTGAACTGTACAATTTAGTGGACCAAAAAGACGTTAAAGTTTAGGCCTTTCTTTCAAACAACGAGCTACAGTCATTTGTAACCTGCATGTATATTGTTTTACATGCAAACAGTATGATGATTTTGGATGAAAATTGAAAACTGTTTAGAAAGATTTTTTCAAAGTGCTAGTTAGTAAAAAAAAAAGGAACACATTTTTTAGCAAAAAGCATAGTTTTTTTAGGATCCTATGTGCGAAAAAATGATACGGAAAACTTCGTTTTTATAATTCTAAGCCTCCGATATCATCTTTTGAATGGAAAAAATAGCAGATATCTATTTATCGTCATTGAAATGTTATCAGGATTTCTATCGCATTAACATTTTTCAATACTCTAATAATAGACAGCATGATTATTATTTTAGTTATCAGTATCAGTTGAAAGTATATCAACGGAAAATACAAAGAATTGGTAGAAAATCTTTATTTCTTTAAAGCATTTTCAATAATTTCAACGAACCAGTAAAATGTCATTATGGGTGAAGATTAGACATAGTGGAATCTCATGGACATGAAGAATCAATATAAAATATGCGAATAGCCGATCAAAAACAGTAGATGGTAATTTAGTTCAGCGTATTTAGAAATTGTATCAAATAGTAAGCAGTAAATAATGCAATCTATCTGTTAGTAGTTAGAATTTTATCAAGTGACAATGATGAATAATTATTTCTATAAAAATATTTCCTTTTGAAAATATCTTTTAAAGAAAAACAAAGTCGACAATAACCTTTTCAAACGAGATAAAACTGCTTGTCTATCCACCCAACGATTTCAAATTACACCATTATTGATGAGACTAATCCGTAAGAGCATTAACGATAGAAAATAAACTCAATTTCATTCTCAAACTAGAAGAAGAAATTCTTATTTTGAAGATTTGCATGTGAATTCTTTCTAAATCTACAGTCTAGCTTCCATTGTCCTTCTCCTTAACCTTCTGTATACTGACGGTTTTTGCGTACGGTAATTCGAAATCAACTGTATACATGTGGCACATTTTACAACACATGAAGTAAGTGATCAATACTATAGAAGATAGTTATATAGAAACTTTACATACTTCGTGACGATGCTATTAAAGAAACATTTGTAATTGGATCTAAAATACAAAATATTATTAAAAATAGATTTCTCATCCGATAGACAAATCTATCTAGATTTATCTTCATTTCAATATGATTTGATACTTACCACATGAAGTTTTCGAATAGGAAAACTTTTGAATCCGTCCATTACGCGAATCAGCAACATAGATATTACCATTACTATCAAAAGCCATATCACGTGGCCCCGATAATTGATTCGCTGCTAAACCAGAAGCAACACATCCAAGTATACACTGAAAACCATTTAATCCTCCTCGAACAATGCGATTCTTATTAGAATCAATAATATATAAATAACCATCACCATCCATTGTCACACCAGTTGGATAGTTAAGACTAGTTGTAATATTTAATGATGTTGCACCTGCAACAGTAATTCCATGTGATTCTCCTGATCGAAATTTTTGAATCCGGTGATTTCCAAAATCAGCCACGTACAAATTAAGATTAGCATCAATAAAAAGTCCACTTGGCGAATACAAGGTATTCGAAGTCGGACCAGCAAATCCAGTTCCAGCTACAATCATCGGTGTTGTATCGTCGTCATCCAACCAATTTTTCACAACTTTATGTTGTTGATCGTGTGAACAGTATAAGTTGTTAAGGATATCAATGAAAATACTGTAGCATGATGTAATAACATTCATGACAGGAGTACTACGATTTGTACTTAATATCCATTTTTCGATGTTACGTTTGGACAATGTCACTCGTTCAATATAAAGTTCATTATCATTTTTAACAAATATTGATTGCGGATATGAGGAGGACTCTGTTATTGTTATGGTCGGATTAACAGAATTGTTCAACCAAATATAAATATGAGATATTGCTTGAACAACAACATAAATGGAATTATTAGTTGTAATAAATATAGAATATGGCATCCCATGAATTATATCATATCCAGCAAAAACAGTTCCAATGGAGCCCCACGTTGCTGCTGGACAAAGTTTTGGTTGATTAAACGAAAGACCTAAAAGAAAATTTCAAAAATTATTCATTTTAGAAATAATAAAATCGATTATTTACCAGATAACTGTCCGATTATTGACAAAGTTAAACATAATTTGAAATTTTCAATCAAAATCATTGTATTCGACGAACGATTAATGATCCGAAATTGATATTATGTTTGTGAATATAAAATTAATTTTATATATTGTCAATAATAAAAAGAAAGAACAGTTAGATATATCGAAATAGAAGACAGGAAGAGATATTCTTATTTGTTACTAAGATAAGTTTTAACGCATAATAGTAATGTAATTATAGTTCAAATGAAGATTTATTTTATCAAATTCTTCTCTTTGAAAAGGTAATTCCTATGTAATGAGAAAAAAATAATATTTTCCATATACTGCTAAAGATGATTTCTAAGGAAAAAAAACACTAAGTTTTCTTGTTACAGCTGGAGCAAACAAAATGATTTTTTTATGATTAATAGAGACATGTTCACAATTTATATTCATAAATATAATCTCAGAGAGGCTCAATATTTTAATATCATTATTGACTGCAACAAAAAACAGTTATTTTTTTCAGAGATAAGAAAAAAAACTTTTCAATGCAGTCTGATGAGCAGTATAATATCAAATGTACACTTGCTATCGTGTAAAGTGTATAACTCTCATTTTGTCTGTAGTGGAAGACAATAATCTCAACTTAAAACTTCCACTCAATGATTATTCCTCGAAAAAAATGAATATTTAATTATGAGAGACGAAGAAATGGCGGAGAAGATTTGGATAGTAATGGAAATAACGCGTAGTAATAAATGTAACTTGTGTGGATACAATCAAGATTTGGACTATTTCACGAAGAATAAGTTTTGACTTCTTAAATTCTGTCTTACTCTAACTTAATAAAAATCAGTGGCAGAATGGGGATTTCGAGTTAGGAAAGCTCAGTTAATAGATCCATTTGGATTCGTCTAGGAAATAAAATGATTTTAGTTAACCAGTATAAATTAAGAATCTTCTAAAATTTGCTAGGAGGGACTGAGCCCTCATCTCTCGCATCACTATTGATAACAGTATCAACTGAACATTCTGAGAATATATTAGAGAGAGAGAGAAAATAGGTGTTAGATGATGACATGACGTCAATTATAATTCTTTTGCATATGATGACGTCAAAGTCATTTATATCTTCTTGTTTTTTATATTTGCATGTGTATTTCGATGTACATATGTTCAAATGTTGTTTCCATCTCTTTCTACGTCATATATAAATGCACTATTTGTGAATAA